ATTTAAAAAAATTTTTTTTAACGTTTTATTTATTTCTAGCAGAGAGAGAGAGAGAGAGAGACAGCGTGAGCAGGGGAGGGTCAGAGAGAGAGAGAGAGTCACAGACTCTGAAACAGGTTCCAGGCTCTGAGCTGTCAGCACAGAGCCCGACGTGGGGCTCGAACCCACGAATCGCGAGATCATGACCTGAGCGAAAGTCGGACGCTTAACCGACTAAGCCACCCGGGCGCCCCCCCTTTTTTTTTTTTAATTTTTTTTAAATGTTTTATTTATTTCTAGCAGAGAGAGAGAGAGAGAGAGAGAGAGACAGCGTGAGCAGGGGAGGGTCAGAGAGAGAGAGAGTTCTATACATTACTTTTAAATCACCACTTTATATTTTTCTGTTGAGGGAAAAGACATAAGCAAATAATCAGCAAGAATTACAATAAAAACTATTGTTTGGTATATCTCAACACCAGCCCATGGCATTAGATGAGCTAATACAATCCCAGTGTCTAGCCTGAAGTACATCCCCAATAAATGGTAATTATCATGACTATTAATGATAAAACCTCACCACTAACAGTTGTTTCATTTAATTTCTTTTAAAATATAAATAATTCTGAAAATATTTAAATTATAATAAAGGTAAATTGGTTTACTAATTTCCTTGAAACTCTGGAGAACTGGAGCAGAGGAAAATTATAAAAATGGAATACATCTGTCTTCACAAATTTGGCCAGGGATGGCAACTGTGCAAAAGTTAACTTTGAATTCTAAGTTTTAAAATAGTAATAATCTAAGCTTTTAAAAATACTGGGGCGCCTGGGTGGCTTAGTCAGTTAAGCGTCCGACTTTCGCTTAGGTCATGATCTCACGGTTTGTGGGTTCGAGCCCCTCGTCAGGCTCTGTGCTGACTGCCAGCTCAGAGCCTGGAGCCTGTTTCAGAGTCTGTGACTCCCTCTCTCTCTGACCTTCCCCTACTCATGCTGTCTCTCTCCTAGAAATAAATAAAACATTTAAAAAAAATTTTTTTTTAAAATACTTAGATAAAAATATATTTGTTTGTGGTGCCTAGGTGGCTAAGTCGGTGAAGCATCTGACTTTGGCTCAAGGTCATGATCTGACAGTTGGTGGGTTCAAGCCCTGTGTCAGGCTCTGTGCTGACAGCCCAGAGTCTGGAACTGCTTCGGATTCTGTCTCTATCTCTCTCTGCCCCTCCCCTTTTTCCCTGTCTCTCTCTCTCTCAAATACAAATAAACATTAGAAAATTAAAAATATATATTTATATATATATTTGGTTCACTTGTGGCAGACAGCTGCATACTTGTAAAAGGGACTGAAGTAAAACTTGGATGTTTTAAAAAGGGCTTGTGAAAGGGATGAAGTAAAACCATAGGTCCATGTTTGGGCTTCTTCTCTTATAATGCGGGCCCTTCCAGTGTCACAAAATTCCAGCCAGAACCATGGCCACCACAGCCAACCAGGAAGACTAGGGATGTATCCTGATGTCCAACACCCATTTTTATTGCTTTGACTGCCAAGCAATTGGCATAAGCATCATTATTTCTACATGCCATCATCATTTCTATAAGGATACTGATATCCTTCTTTAAAAACATCTAGAATCTAACATAGATTCTTAGAAATACCTATCATCATCTTTTGACAGTGACTGATTCAGAGAAATATTCCCAAATCTCTTTGAAGTGAGCTTGATGACTCAGCAATTAAGAGTCCCACACTTCTTTGAAAGAGAAGTGTTGTCTGCTTGTTTTAAAACTACAAACCTTTTGGGGGATCTGAGTGGCTCGGTTGGTAAGCGTCTGACTTGGTTTCTGCTCATGTCATGATCTCCAGGTTTCGTGAGTTTCAGCCCCACGTCAGGCTCTGTGCTAACAGTGTGGAGCCTGCTTGGGATTCTGTCTCTCTCCCTCTCTCTGCCCCACTCCCACCGCTCATGTGGTCTCTGTCTCTCTCAAAATAAGTAAACTTAAAAAAATAATAAAAAATAAAATAAAACTACAAGTCTTTTTAGGGTCCCATCCTAGATCAGGCTTTAATCCTCTACTTCACAGTAAGACGTCTCACTTCCTTTTCGGAATGTGAAGACTGGAATACATGCAGCTTCACAGGCCTTGGCTTGCATGTCCACATTCGCTGTTCTGAGAAGCGGACTCTCTGAGAGGAAAGCCCCTTCAGTTTCCTTATAGCTGTCTGGGTTTTTTTTTGTTGTTGTTTTGTTTTGTTTTGTTTATAAGAGAGAGAGAGTGAGCACAAGCAGGGGAGGGGTAGAGAGAGGGACAGAATCCCAAGCAGGCTCTGTGCCATTAGCACAGAGCCCAATGCGGGGCTTGAACTCACAAACCTTGAGATCATGACCTGAGCTGAAATTGAGAATCGAGTCAGCCGCTTAACCCACTAAGCCACCCAGGCGCCCCTCCTCATATTCGTCTTGAGCGCCACTCCCACTCTGTCATCCTCCCTCCCACCCTCAGATCTTCAATTTGTATGACACAATTTTGGCTCTTTTCTTGGTACTGTCCTAAAAGAAGCTATCAAGTAAGAAAGGATGAAAGCTTTCAATACATCCTTTTAAAAGCAATTCTTTTGATAGATTTCATCACACAGAACTCAAGAGCATGCTGCATAAACAGCAGCTATGAAAAAAATAACGAGGAAGGTAGCTGCAGATATTCTAAGCAACTTTTCCCACTGGGATATTAAACTGGGCATGGTTTATAAAACCTAGAATACAAGAAAATGGACATGCTGGTACACTGAGGAACAAAATAAATATTTTATTACATTAATGCAGGTGTAAACAATGACAGTTAAAATTCAGAACTAAGTACTGTCTCTGACTATGTCGTTTACAGTGGAACACAAGACAAAGATATAAAGTGCCTTACAAATCCAACACCTCAAGGAGGCACTGACATTTAGGAATGGAGTGAAGAGGTGGTCCCCAGCTCAGCGAGAACTCTCCCCTGTACTTCGCACAGAGGATATGGCCACGCCAACAGGGATGCCGTACCAATTAACATGTACGAGGAGAACAGAAGGGGTTCTGTTCTGCTGGAGATTCTGTTTCTTCAGCTTTGACATGTGGCAAAGCAAAGGTTTCCCTCGTCGATAACCCAGGTAGGCGGCCAAGACAGAAGGGATACGCTGGGACCTCCTGAGAGGGCATGTAAATTCAAGGTCTTTGAAAAGCAACATCTTAGATCTATGTAGTGATGAGAACTGGTAAGACTAAAGGGTTCAGGCACAGCTCATGGGCCTTTTCCAGCACAGGTGGGGGTCAAAGTACAGTCCTGGAATTCCAAAAATAAAAACGAAAACAACCCCCCCCAAATGAAAACCGAAACACAGCAAAACCCACCCATTTAATTTTGCAATTGTAACATCAGAGTCTAGTTTGTACTCAAAACAGGAAAAAACAAGTTCCACACATGATTCAGTCATATAGAATTAATATTAAAGTCAGCCTTTAGGACCCAGGGCACCCAGGAGAACCCAAGGGTTTCACTTTGAGAAACACAACATAAACCAAATCCAAACTCAGTCACAGAGCAAGCACTCAACAAATGCTGGTTGTCTAAACGTGGATGAAGTAATATTGGGGATGTATTAAGTCTTATAAAAGATACTAACAGGCTACGGAAGGGATGATTTAGAAACAAAGAAGATATGGTACCTGGCCTCTGGGAAGCTCATGTTTGCTTCAGCAGCTACATAAGAAAGAATACATTAAATAAAAATAGCCAAGTGCACAGCAGGTGAATAGTGTGTTACCACTTATGTGAACAAGAGGAATAAAAGATTTACTTTTTATACATATTTCTACATATATCCATAGATGATGTTTAGGAGACTACATAAATAAAAGGCAGGGATGGTTGCTTCTCCAAAGGAAAACTGGACGGCAAGAATGAAATGGAGACTTTTTAATGTCTTCTCTAAGGTCTTCTGAATTCTGAATCATGGAAAGATATGAATTCAAAATTCAGCAGCACTTAAATAATAATAGTAAAAAAAAGATCTGCTAGATAACACCAACATGATACATATCAGCATCAGACTGCAGGGCAGAGGTAAGTAAATCAGAGGTAAATACAATGATAGAAAAGGAATTCAAGAGTTATTTTCCACAATCTTTAAAACCACTGACTTCTCACAAACTAAAATCACTTGGATTATGAAAATGTACTTTCGCCTTCCGAGGGACATGCTGACTGGCGTCCCTCCTTCTGGCAACTCTTCCAGACTCTCCACACCATCACCACCCTCCAAGACCTTATTCTATGACACTGCACGAAGACATCGTAATCTGTTTTCTGATCCGTCTCCCCTTGATGCCCTGAGCCCCCTGAGGAGATGTACTTTGTCCTCTTCAGTCACGGCCTGGCAGAGTGCTTGGCATGCGAGAGCACCTCCTAACTGTCTCTGATGAATGAATGAATTTCTTAAAGCAAAACATAGCTCTAAAACTGTATTCTAAAAGGACAGTGGGCGACAGTGGTAGAAATATGAGGTGTGCTATTTACTGGCTCCGGCAAGTTACTTAACTCTCTGCTCCCTCTACTATGAAATGGGTATAACAATCGTGCGCACCACAACACAGCTGATACAGGTGTTACACATGATTATGTGTGAGGATGCCACATGGCTGTCACGCTGACAGGTAAAATGGAATGGGTATTTCAGTAACATACCTCACCTCAAGGTGTGAGAGTAAGATTATTCAGGTCAACCAAAGTGCTAATGGGCTAAATAAGATAATAGCCTATACAAACCAATAGTCCATTCTCTATGCTTCCTATGTGCTGGTAGCTGTGGTGGACACCAAGCACCTTATAAATACTACACATCTTGGGGCGCCTGGGTGGCTCAGTCAGGTAAGCGTCAGACTTCAGCTCAGGTCATGATCTCACTGTTCGTGGGTTCAGGCCCCACCTCAGGCTCTGTGCTGACAGCTCGGAGCCTGGAGCCTGCTTCGGATTCTGTGTCTCCCTCTCTCTTTGCACCCCCTACTCATGTGCTGTCTCTCAAAAATAAATAAACATTAAAATTTTTTTAAAAAAATACTACATATCTTATTGAACACAAATAAGTCACTAAGCAGTAAGTTTAGTGGCAAAATTTTAACTTCCTCTCTTGTTTATCTTCAAAAGAAATCACTCACAAGCACACTCACATGACAGGACTCCACACATTCAAAATAAATAGAAATAACATACTTAAATATTGTTGCAACACTGGGACTCTCAATCACGCAGATGACAAACAGAGATGCTGGCGAAGCCAAGGGGCACTTCTGCAGGAACTGACCATTAAATCAGGGAATCTCAACTCGTTTTCCCAGGATGAGCGATGGACAATTTGGAAGTGTCCTCTCTCTCTCTCAGGTGCCCATGAGTCTCCCAGTTGTTCTGAAGCCCCAGGGTTTCCTTGCAGGTGACCCCTTCTTACTCCTTGCTTTGTTCTCCTCCTCTTCTCTTCCGGCTTCCATTTTTGAGTGCTTGGGCCTCTTCGTCCGACATGATTTGCAGCTCGCCTGGCCCACCACACTCCTCTGGTCATGCCTAGCCCTGACGAGCCCAAAACACAGGCTGAGAATCCCTGCTTTAAGATCAGAAGTTTCAATCCTGGATTACGTCTCCTCAAATTGTAGATCTGGAGAGTGATTATGAGAAACATAGCTCAAGTTTGCTAGATGATATAAATTTGCATTAAGAGAAAGCAGCAGATTATGTTTATGGCCTGTTACCTGTGCAATATAAAGGGTGACCAACCATCTGGTTTACCTAGGTTTGTTCTGGTTTTAAAACAGAGCCCCAGGTCCTGAAAAAACCCTTAATTCTGGGCAAATTGAGAGAGAAGGCGGGTCACCCTAAGATGCTCCAAACAACATTCACTATTTAGTTTTACAAAACAACTGAGTGGGATGGACCATGTATGAGACCAGCCTGAGCTTGTCCAAACTAATTAGATTCCTTTAAACTTGGGCTACTCATGAAGTTCGCTTTCTGCCCGCATTAGAAAGAATTGGAGGGGCACCTGGGTGGCTCAGTCAGTTAAGCATCCGACTTCAGTTCAGGTCATGATCTCATGGTTCATGGGTTTGAGCCCCACATCAGGCTCTGTGCTGACAGCTCAGAGCCTGGATCCTGCTTCAGATTCTGTGTCTCCCTCCCTCTGCCCCTCCCCTACTCTGTCTCTCTGTCTCTGTCTCTCTCCCTCCCAAAAATAAATATGAAAAAAATTTTTTAAGAAAGAATTAGAAATCTTAATATAACTTTCTTCTTAGTTCAGGGGTGCCTGGGTGGCTCAGTGGGTTAAGCATCCAACTCTTGATTTTGACTCAGGTCATGATCTCATGGTTCATGAGCTTGAGCCTGGGCTCTGCTGATAGTGCGGAGCCTGCTAGGATTCATTCTCTCTCTCTCTCTCAAAATAAATAAATAAATTTAAAAAAAATAAACCTTTCTTCTTAATCAGCTGGGTGAGGTCTTTCTCACCTTTTATCAATGCAGACATTTGTGGTGACATGAATTTCAGTGGATAGGTTAAGAGTGAGGATCTATGGTGAGGCTAGTGGACTCCAAAGCCTGATTTTTGTCTGGTATGTGCTCCTTCACCCTATGTTTTCTCTACTGTAAAATGGGGAATACTTCAGTATTTATCTGTTTGATTTTGTGGGGGAGAGTGTAAATGAGGAACTGCCTATGACACAGTTAACACAGTGACTGCTACTTCAGTTCTCTCTCTCCGTCTCTCTCTCTGAATCATCTATCTGTCATCCATCCATGTAACTCAACTTGGTCCCCTTTTGCAGGGAGGTGTTAGGATCCAGAGCAATAAAAACTTAGAAAGAAGTTGCCTCCTCCTACCAACCCCAAAGCTGCTGACCAGTCTACACTCCAAGGCCGTTCCTCAGTCTCCTGAGGGACAGCAAGTGCAGGTGCCTCACAGATGTGAGGTGAGGAAGAGCCAGCTGCTCTAACAGCCAGTGTTCTTTAAAGTGAGGGGAGCCTACGGCTGACGGCTTTCTTCTTGTTATTAACTTTTTGTTCCTTTTTCTTTCAGCTTCTGAACCCCTACTAATATTCTTACCATTTTGTTTCTTTGAGTTCATATCTGTGGTGTCACATTTTTCCACATCCATCATTCGCAGCTCAAAAAACACTTCAAAAAAAGAAAACAAATCATACTTATTCGCATATAACATAACTCTACATCTCTATATCCCATATAACATCTCTCTACAGTGACTCAAGTTTAAATTCCAGGCTCTTAGGAAACATTTTTAATCCCCTAGGAAGTCTGGTAGACTTCCGAATTTATTCTATGGGTTCCAACCCCTGAGGTCAATTCAACAGTTTAGGGCATATGCTTTTGCTCCTAGATTGATTTATTTATTTTCTTCCTTCCTTCCTTTTTCCTTCTTTCCTTCCTTTCCTTCTTTTGTTCTTTCGTTTATTTATTTATTTTTTGTCATCTCTACACCCACTGTGAGGCTCAAAGTCACAGCACTGAGACCAAGAGTCATATGCTCGTGTGACTGAGCCAGCCAGGTGCCCTGCTCCCAGATTTTCTCTAGGAGTATACACTTTTATTTTCCATTCTTCCCTCAGAGATGGATCATACTCTAAGGTACTTTATCATACATTAGTTTTCTAGCCATTTTTCATGCCAACAAATTATTTTTCATGGGCAAATAATCAAAATGTAAGTTGGCAATAGTCACTTCTTTGGATAAATCAACTCCATTTCAGAATCATCATACCGTTGAAAGTTCATCCTTACATTCTGGCTCATTGTCTCAGTTCTGTTAAGTGCATATTCTTTAGAAGCAGCTGACCTCCACTCAATTACACCATTTTCCCATATCCACTCACCCTCTTAAGGGGTTGTGGGGAACTTCTAAACCACCATTGGAATTCCCTTCCATCTTCCACTTCCCTATTTGACCTCAGATAATTCTACACACAGATCATCTTTGGATCCCCTGGTATACTTCTCAAAGCATTGGGGAAATATCTACTTTGAATTGTCATAAAATGGGAGGAAATTATTTGAATAGACTCAATTTCCTGGATTTTAATTGTTCCCATGGGCAAATAAAGAGATAAACACATGCAAATTATTTTGAAAACTATATAGCACCCTCAGCCAGAAATCTTATAAAATACTATATAGTAAAAGTATCAGAGCACTACAGAAAAAACTATTTTTCTTCCTCAGTGTGCCCAGAAACCAGCTCAATACAGCAGTACAACTAATGCAAGACTTAAATTCAACCGGAACTAACAGGTATTTTAGCTTTTCCTCTCCTATTCTAAGTCTGTGGTTATTTGCATGACGGGAAGAAAGTGTATGATGTGTGGCCTTCTCCCTCCGTACACAGGCATTCTCCTGCCTCTCCCCCCCAGACACATGCTCTTCACCCAGCAATACTTCTCAGTCTCACCACCATCTCTATTCAACACTGGAATGTCTTTGTGCCACCTTGCAAAGGCAGATCAGGTTTCCCTGCAGCCATGATCCAACGGTCACCCCCTTGGAAATGCTACTACAAGGGTTCACTGCCCAGCCTCCCACGTAAGCAATGGTGCACAACAGTGAAATGAGCAAGACTGGAGTAAGGGATGACATACAGTTTCACACGCTAGCACTGTTAAAACCTATTTTGCATAATGAAAGTTGGCCTTAAAAGTGAATGCTAATCGGAAAGCAGCATTTTATAAATCAATGTTTCCTAGTGTGGCCACCACTGACATTTTGGTTGGGAGGGCTCCCTGCTACATGGGACTGTCCTGCACATTACACAACACTTAGCATCCCTGGCTCTGCCTGGAAGAGCCACTCTGACAACAAGAGCACCCCCAGACACTTTCACATATGCCCAGTGGACACCATCACAATAAAGGAAATACCATCTTTTTTTTTAAGACAGAAAGCGGCAGTCAGGACCACGACAAGAAACAACGGGACGGCTCCCAAAATCATGAAGTGAGTCCTCCCATTTGCTAGAACCAGACGTAGGTCTGAAAAACAAAAGAAAAAAAGAAACTAAAGATAAATTTTGATGGGAAGGGGTTGAGAGAATAATTATCTTTGAAGTTTAATTCAGGTTAGCTTGAGGGTGCCAAAAGTCCCTGGCCAGCGAGTGGCTGGAACAGCGAGATGCCTTCGATATGAAAATGGGAACAGCTCGAGAAAGAGAAGAAGCCTAGTCTTTGGACAGATGGATGTGGAGGTCAATTCTGCCACCACTCCCTAGCTTTGAGGTCTCAGGCAAATCCTTTAATCTGCCCACAGAATGGAAATGATAACCAAATTTATCATGAGGCTAGTATTTGTGAAGTGCTCACCATAGCAGCTCAGTACTACACGGGAGCCTTGTTATTCTCCTTGCATTCTTTAATGCAGAACCCAGTGGCTTACTGTACTGTATATGGAGACGGGACACAAAGGCCAACTGGCCCCGGCAGAGAGCTCCTACCTCCCCGTACAGATGGCCGCCACTAAAGGCCTTGTGTGCTGTCTTTTATTTCTCAGTTTGAACATGTCGGGCCATCCAATCATTGGTACCTCTCACCAATCTGTCTGGGGTTCCGTGCAAGAAGAAAAGGGATCCCCTGGCACGTGATGTTCAGATACTGCTAATTCCCACTTCCTAACCATTAATCATAATCCATGACTGTCTAGTTCAAGCTTTAAAAATCACACAGTGGTCAACCTTTCTCTAGTAGCTTACAGTTTACAAAGGCTGTTTATATCTATTTTATTTCAATCTCAAAGTTAAGTTGAATCAGGTATGCAAGATATTAAAAAAAACCCTGGGTTATAGATGAGGAAACAGATACAAGCAATTAGCCAAGTTACTGTAAATCTTCCCACAAATAATCTGTCATAAAATAACTTTTAAATGGCAGGAGCCCATGAGTGTAGCCCCTACCAAAGTGACTCATAACCCAGTAAGAGCATCTCTTTAAGTTTCTAAACTCTTTTTGCTCTTTTCATTCATAGGACCAATCCAGTTTTAATTACCTTCGCCTATTGTTTGACCTTTCCACCCAATTTATTAGTTCTTTCTCTTTTTTTTTAAAGTTTATTTATTTACCTTGAAAGAGAGAGAAAGAGAGCAAGCTGGGGAGGAGGTAGAGAGAGAATCCCAAGCAGTTCTACAATGTCAGTGCAGAGCCCAACGTGGGGCTCAAACTCACAAACCATGAGGTCATGACTTGAGCCGAAACCAAGAGTTGGACGCTTAACCGACTAAGCCACCCAGGTGCCCCTCTTACTTGTTTTTTTCTTAAGTAGCTGAAGCTTTACTGGCAACATCTAGTGGGAGGGGGCATTGAGAAGTGCTTCTCAGAACACCTCCGGGGTTATGTTAACATCATGCTCTCCTGACTCTCTCTAAAGGTCTGAGCCTCTCACCTGACTCTGTATCCCATCTTACCCACTTCTGTAGGGGAGTAAGGAAAACAATAGCTGAGTCTGTAGAGGCAAGAGTCTCAAATCCCTTTCACATACTATAGCTCATTAACCCCTATGATAATCTTGCCTGACAGGTTATAACTGTAGACAGAATATGACGCATGCAGGAATTGAGTCCCTTCTGTCTTATGTGCTCAGCAGACTACTTCGAGTTGAAATCTCATAGACTATATCTGGGGTTGCAGGGTACATGGGGAGAAATGACCTGTATCATTTAGAATAGGATAGAAAAGTACCTTCCATTTGCTGCCGCCAGAGAAGCCCTGGAAAGAAAGGAGCAGCTCTGATGTGCTCTAATCTGGACTCCTGAAACCCTTCCTGGATTGAGTCTTCCTTTCATATACTCCCAGCCACAAGAGCATTGCCTACATGGAATGGGGTTGCCTTAATTGTTTCTTAACTTTTCTTTTTCCTGGAGAGCCTGAATGGTGTCTTATTCTTCTATAAGTCCCTGATACCTGGCACATAGAGCATGTTCAATAAATATTTGCTGAATGTTTATCAAATAGCAATAGGACTCATATAAGTGGCGGTGAGGAAGCATTTTGTAAATATAGTGTGATATCTGCATTCATCTATTTAACACATGAATGCCTACAATGAACAGGCACCATGCTAGAGGCCAGGGGATAGCAGTAGACACATTTTAGTTGAGACATTCAGAATATTACCTGGGATGATCAACTCAGCAGTACTGTTTCCCTCAGGACTTGATCTTTGAAGAAAAGTGCAGTAGAAAATTGCATTAGCTGTCGTGTTGACTCTCAGCGTGCTGGTCACATTGAAAAGCTTTGTTTCCGTGTTGGAATTAGTGATGGTGGTTTGGCCACTCAGGACTTGATAGTCACTGTCTGTCCAGATGACTTCAGCGGTGGGGTAACCCTCAGCCTGACACATTAGTTCATGTTCAGAGGTGACAGGATCCACAGAAATTCTTTGGTTGATTTTACGGTATGGGGCTAGGTTGTGAGCAAAAAGAAGACAAGGTTTTCATTTAGAACAAAACTAGGTGTGTGGCTTGGCATTGTCTACATTAGAAAAAGTATCAATTCAGGCTAGTTCTCAGAGAAATAAGCTTAATGATCAGATGTCTCAGCACTGGGGAACCCCTGTTAGTTCTGCTTCAACTCTTTAATTTTTTTTAACATTTATTTATTTTTGACAAAGAGACAGACAGAGCATGAGTGGAAGAGGGGCAGAGAGAGAGGGAGACACAGAATCTGAAGCAGGCTCCAGGCTCTGAGCTGTCAGCACAGAGCCCGATACGGGGTTTGAACCCAAGACCTGTGAGATCATGACCGGAGCCAAAGCTGGATGATTAACCAACTGAGCCATCCAGGCGCCCTTGTGTCAACTCTTCTATTCACAGTTGAGCTAAGTTTGAACTTAAAGGAACAACTCCCTTGCCATAAAAATCATATTGCTATTTTATTTGGGCTCCAAGTAAATGTACAGATGAATTTAAAGAGAAATACCCTCCTGAAACCAATAGTCTTTCTATCCAAATATAAAATATGTCTGTCCATTTACTCAAGTCTTTGTATGTTTCTCACTAAAGCTTTATAGTTTTTACTAAAGGCCAACCCATTTCTTCTTAAATTGGTTCCTGGATATCTTCTTTTTGCTGCTATAAAGCTATCTTCATAACATGAACCTCTTCATGTTTTTCTTAGACTTTATTTAATAAATAGAATATCTGATTTTTATGTGCCATTCACTTTTAGTTTTACTATTTTTTCTTTTTTTTTTTTTCCTAAATCTCATTTATTGTCAACTTAACTAACATACAGTATATACAGCGTGCTCTTGGCTTTGGGAGCAGATTTCCAGGATTCATCACTTACATACAACACTCACTGCTCATCTCAACAAGTGCCCTCCTCAATGCCCATCACCCATTTTCCCCTCCTCTCTCCCTCCATCAACTCTCATTTTGTTCTCTGTATTTAAGAGTCTCTTATGGTTTGCTTTCCTCTCTGTTTGAAACTACTCTTTCCCCTTCTCTTCCCCCATGGTCCTCTATTAAGTTTCTCAAATTCCACATATGAGCGAAAACATGATATCTGTCTTTCTCTGCTTGATTTATTTCACTTAGCATAATATTCACTTTTTCGACTGTAAGTCAATGATCAGAAATTAATTATAAAAAGAATATGATTTTATAAAACTGCTATGTGTTCCTGATAATGCTTTTTAAAATTAAAGTTTATTTTTTTATTTTAAAGTAGTTTCAGATTTACAGAAAGATGGCAAAGATAGTGCGGAGTCCCTACATGCCTATTACCCAGTTCCCCCACTTCTGACATCTTACAGTACATTTGTCATGACTAAGGAGCCAATGTGTGTACATTACTATTAACTAAACTTCACACTTTGTCCAATTTAACTAGTTTTTCCCTAAGATCCTTTTTCTATTCTAGGAGCTCATTCAGAATTCCATATCATGCTACTTACTATTTTGAACATTTTTATGTTATATTTTATATTTAAAGCCTATCTATCGATTGATTGATTGATTGAGAAGCCCAGGCAGGCTCTCACTGTCAGCACAGAGCCTGATGCGGGGCTCAAACTCCTGAACCGTGAGATCATGAACTGAGCCGAAACCAAGAGTGATATGCCTTAACTGACTGAGCCACCCAGGCACCACTATGTTGGCTATTTTAATAAATCACCTAAATAATTATTACACTCAAGAAATAACATTTAAATTTTAGATCAATGATTAAAATTTGGCTCATTGGTTTGGGACCCCTTTAGGATTAAGATACCATGTGTACTGACTATTATAGTAGATTGTTTAATGCATTTCCATCACCTAAGATCTTTATTCATGTTTTCTCATTACAAGCATGGCAACAAGCCACTATTCTGCTGGCATAATCTTTATTTTACTTCTAATGCTTCAGCGTAATCACTAGCGGTCCACCCAGAGCCTTAACTCTCCATTCCTTTACCAAAGGCATAACAATGGCTTTATGATAAGATATACTCACAGAAATTTAATACAAAAAAACCAGAAACAAATAAAACTGAAATAATGATGTGATGTTTTTGTGCTCTTACTGAAACCATTAATAGAAACACTGGATATCAACATAATAATAATTTCAAAACACATAAAGAATGGTTCTCATGAGTACTTGGGTTCTTGACATTATATCTGTTATGTTCCAGAATTCTTTTAAAAAAATAAATCCACTGGAGCAGCTGGGTGGTTCAGTCAGTTAAGTGTTCAATTCTTGATTCTGGCTTGGGTCATGATCTCAGGGTCATGAAACTGAGCCCCACGTCTAGGTCTGCACTGGGCGTGGAGTCTGCTTAAGATTCTCTTTCTCCCTCTACCCCCACCCTACTCTTGCATGTTCTCTCTTTCAAAATAATAAATAAATAAACCCATCCACTGATCCTCCTGCAATAATATTATCATAATAGGTTCTAGTTCACATAGCACAAAGCTTGATCTCTGGACAATTTCATTTTCAAGAGTAAAATCATAGATAATGGTAAAATTAGAATTAAAGGTAAAATGTTTGCTTTTTTATTCTTCTAATTTTTAATGAAATAATAAAGGAGAATGTTGCTTCATGCTAAGCATATATATAAATGTGGCTATACCTCTAAGGGCACAATAAATGAGTGCATTGGTTCTACTCATGGTTAGATATCCACTGTATCAGTCTCTAAAGTAGGGCATATATCTTAGAGTATAAGAAGAAAATATGAGAGCTTCCACTTAATATATATTTTTATCATAATAATTAAGAAATAATCTAAGGCTCTGCCAATTGATACTGGGGCTTACTTCATATGCCACATGAGGGTCTTACGGGAAGACGGGAGTTTTACAACACCAAAGGGAGAATAGTGACTTATTCTGGGCCCATTATAGATTTCTAGATTCTCTACTTTTAACTAGACTAACTGCTTACTAAATGAACAACTAATTAAAAGTTTTTCTGCAAAGAAGCTGAGGATGGAAGATACTAGTTCAAGCATGAACCACAAGGAAATGGCAGGAATGACACCTTATGAAGTGGAAGGAGTAAATGCCAAACTGGACCTGACAAGGTGATGGATTGAACACCCTAAAGACTGTAGATAATGCTGCTATAAACACGGGGTACACGTACACCTCTGAATCAGTAGTTTTATATCCTTTGGGTAAACACCAAGTAGTACAATTGCTGGAGCACAGGGTAGTTCGATTTTTAACTTTTTGAAGAACTTCCATTCTGTTTCCTACAATAGCCAAATTATGGAAATAGCCCATTTGCCTATCAACTGATAAATGGATAAAGAAGATATGACCTATATATACACAACACACACACACACACAGAGATACACACAATAGAAATATTACTCAGCCATATAAAAAGAATGAAATACTGCCATATTCAATGACATAGACGGAGCTAGAGAGTATTATGCTAAGTGAAACAAGACGGTCAGAGAAAGACAAATACCATATGATTTCACTGGTATGTGGGATTTAAGGAACAAAACTAGCATAAAGAAAAAAGGAGAGGCAAACCAAGAAACAGACTCAACCTATAGAGAACACACTGATGATTAGCAGAGAGGAGGTGGGTGGAGGTATGGGTGAAACAGGTGATGGGGATTAAGGAGGGCACTTGTGATGAGCACTGGGTGTTGTATGTAAGTGCTGAATCACTAAATTGTACACTTGAAACTGAAAACAAAAACTCAAGATTGTCAAGACCATCCACCTTTATTAACAATGAACTTCACCTTGAAATAATGATAGCAATGATAGCTAATGATAGTGAATCATCATAATTAGCGAGGCATTAAAAATATGGTTCGTTAAACTTTTGTTCCATCCTTTAAAAAATGGGCTCAACGTGGGGCTTGAACTCACGAACTATGAGATCATGATCTGAGCCCAAGTTGGATGCTTAACCAACTGAGCCACCCCAGTGCCCCCTATTTTTGTACATTTATAGAATGCACAATACATTAGGTTGAACCATATGAAATTAGAGATGTTCAACTTCTTTAACCTTTTAAAAAAGTCAATTTCTTATGCTATATCCTTTATATTAGCACAAGCACATCCTTTATAACTACAGACACATAGACACACATATTACCTAATCCACTTTATTGATGGGGTGGGTCACCAAGAACATCTGCAGACTACTGGTTTACTAGATACAGAGTACACATGTGCTAATCCAGCGGTCACATCAAGAACAAGAAAAGCTCACAGTATTTTTGAAGTCAATATACAACTTCATATACACCCTGGAGGGATAAATACAGGGGGTAAAATCTGGTCATTAAGGACAGAGACTTCAGAGCTAGATTACCTGAGTTCAGAACCTGGCTTTACCACATAAAAGCTGAACTTGGGTAAATTACTTAGTTTCTTTGGACCTCAGTTTCTTTATTCATAAAATGATAATAGCACCATACATGTCATGAATCTAAGATGGTATCTATTGAAAGACGCACTTAGATTGCAGAGATAGTTAAATATGAAAACATGCATCTTAGATACGACGGAGCTCCTATTCCATAGAGTCGTTTGAGGATTACGTGAGTTAATATAGGCAAAATGCTCAGGACAGGGCCTGGCACATAATAGGCGCTACGTAAGTGTCACTAATCCTATGACAGCTACTAGAGCTGCCCCTCCTCTCCTCACTACTTCCACTTCAGTGCACTCAGGCAGTCTTCTTCAGAAAGTACTGACAATTCCTCATGAACAGACTCAGAAATAAACGTTCATATATTCAAACCTGTTCACGTTTCAAAACATTTAGCCTTCTCCTATTTGAGGAAATACTTCATTCATTCATTCAATAAGTATATTTATGTTTTTTTCATGTTTATTTATTTTGAGAAAGAGAGAGAGAATATGAATGTGCATGTGCATGTGGGAGCCAGGCAGGGACAGAGAGAGAGGAAGAGAGAAGCTCAAGCAGGCTCCATGCTATTAGCACAGAGACCACCGTGGGGTTCAATCTCATGAACCATGAGATCATGACCTGAGATGAAATCAAGAGTCAGATGCCTGACTAACTGAGCCACTGAGGCACCCTGTTCAACAAATATTGTGTGTGTGTGTGTGTGTGTGTGTGTGTGTTCTTGTCACACTTGTCTTGTACGCCAAGTCCTAGGGATACAGAAGTGAATGAAAACAGACCAAAATATCTGCCTTTGTGGAATATATATTCAAGAAAGAGGAGAGAGATAATAAACAGAACAGGTGCATTTATATGATGTGTTAGAGGAGTATATTATGTGATTCATTAGATGGGAAGGAACACTATAGAGAACACCTAAACAGGACTGGCTGGTAAATCTGGGGGAGAGATGGGGTTGGTGGGGAGTGATAAAATGAATCCTTGGTTTATATGAACAAATGCACTTTATTAGGGTAACTACATAATAACTGAGTTAATCCAAAACTAAACTGTTATACATTTCAGTTTTGAAATGCTTCACCTTTACAATCTCAGGGTGAGTAAACTCCCTGTGGGGAGGCTGTATTAACTCAGGTTGACAGTGATGGGGAAAGGAGCCTGACAGCATTACTGCAAAATCATTTGCATACAGAGGTGACTCAGGAATTCTAACTTGCTTGAGTTGCGAAGCTCATGAAAGAGACATTTCCATGAGTGACACTGCCTCAGTGCATGTGAAGCTTGGTGGCTGGCTTGCTCTCAAGTGCAGCTCAACTCAACACCCAAGACCATAGTGTGCAGATGTCAACAAGAGGGATGGGACTAGGGTGCCGAATTTAGTAATTTTTAACACAAAATGGAATGGTCAAAACAAATCAGGGTGCCTGGGTGGCTCAGTCAGTTGAGCATCCAACTCTTGATTTCAGTTCAGGTCATGATCTCACGGTTTGTGGGATCAAGCCCCATGTTAGGTTATTCACTCACAGCATGGAACCTGCTTGGGATTCTCTCTTTCTCTCTCTCTCATAAATAAATAAATAAACTTTACAAAACAAAAATAACTCAGACCCTCAACTCTGGCTGCTCATCTGCTTTTTTCCATCAGGAACCCCTCCTTGGAAAAACCATTAAGGCTAAAAAGTTTCCTATTATGTTGAACCAGAGCAAAGAAAATCACAGATCAGCAGAGCCCAGAGGACCTAAAAGAACACCCATTCTCGCTACAGGACAACTGACCCATTGTCTGCATAGCCCCTAATGGCTGATGAGAGACCTTCTTTTCTGGAAGCAGAAACTTATATCCTACACTTCTTTACCTGACTGCAGGGATTTGCTCTTTCTTGCCAACCCAGATCCAGCCATGCTGGCTGTTCATGGGGTTAAGTCTTGATAATTTCTTCAACACCGGGAAACACAGTTATGGACTAAAAAGTTGAAAATTCCAACCTGGGATCTCACCAGCTTGCTTTCATGAATAACACTGTTCTGGGAAGTATATGGTAAAATATAATGAAAATTAGATCTACTTCCCAAGCCAAGTGACATCCTCTTGACAACAGTAGCATTAATTGATCCAGAATCAGAAACTCCGTAAAGTGCCATAAAATAGATGCATTTCTCCTAATTCCTATATAATTTTGATTTTGAGTTCATAACAATCAGTTATCCCTTTCTGATAAATATAAACTTTTTCTACTCATAATATTGATCTTCCAGTGGAAGGCAGGTAGGCCAGGAATGGAAAGAGCAAAGGGGATAATGATTAGATTCTGGTCACATACTAAAAGATCATCATGTAAACAAAATAGGCAGGCAGATAATCTCAAAACTGTGACAAGAGAAAACAGATTTCAGCTCAGTATCAGATAATGATTTCAACAGGCCTACGGACAGAGTGTCACTATAGAAAGCATGTCAGCAAAAGATCCCTTAGGGGAGATTTCTATACTCTGGGAGTTTGGATTCATTGCTTTTACTTGGGATCCTTTCTGTCTCAATTCTGTGAATCTTAATAGTGAAAGCAGAGGGGTTCAACTAAGGTGTTTAAGGTGTTTTCCTTTCCTTAGCTAGTGGCAATGCAAAACTCTGAACCTAAGTGATCTCATGACATATCTGTGGGTCAGTACCCAGGAAGCTGATATTCACAGTTCCCCTGCAACACTCCAAGATAACAGTGGTACAGATTTTCAAGATGAATATATGCCCAGAGAGCCTAATTTACACTGTCTCTGAAGAATAGTTTTCTTTGTATTTGGTAGGATTATTTTTTGACTTCACAGACTGACTTCAAGTCTTTCTGAATGTGAACCTTACAGTATGGTTTGTTTCCAAACATATTAATTGTGACTTGACAAAGAGAGGCATAAAGGAAGGAAAATGATGACAGACTTCATAAAATTTTAAGAAATTTTAGTGGAATAAAAAATTCCTGGAGTTGCCATCTTTGCATGTCATGGAAAATGGCAGTGAAGGGAGGAAGGGCACTTTTGTAATTCATTTTAATCCCCTCCACAGCATCTGAATTATTTGCAAATACATATATTACTTTCACAATAATAAAAAAGACTAGGAACTTATTTTTAGGAGAACTGAAGAATGGCCCTGCCATGCTTGGCTCTAGATCTCTGGGGGCTGCTGAATAGGAGTGTTCAAGAAATGCTCACTGAATGAGTGTGTGAAGGAATGAATGAACAGACTGCCACCACACTTCCAAGAAGGAAACGTTCCCAGCACTGGGACCGGTTTTCATCAAGATTGGACCCTCTTCAGCTGTGATTACTCTTACCATGAACTTTCAAAGTGATCCGCTTATAGTCAGCACCGCCGTAGCCAATCAAGCAGCAGTAAACCCCTGCGTCCCCCAGGGTCACGTTTGTGATACGAAGCGAGGCCTTCCCCAGGAAGAGATGGTCCTTCAGCAGCTGGGCCCTATGACTGTAGCTTCTGTGCTGAACGTTCAGGTCTTCCTTCCCGTTCACAAACTGAATGATCTTCTTATCCTCCATTTCCCAGTAGACGATCAGTGAAAGCAGGTCTAATTGTTTTTCTACAGGGAATCTGCACTCCATTGTCACATTGCTGCCGTACTCTACCACATACAGGTCCTTGGAAACTGTGATCGTAAATGCTGAAGAGAAAGAGGACCAATCCTCAGAAGATGGGAAATTCCTCAAAACATGTGCAAATGGAACACTGGGTTTACAAACACTTTATCTGGTCGCTTATGTGATAATTATGCTCAAGGACTTACTTCCCTAAAATATGTATTTTATCTAATGGCTTTGGAACATACTTTGGAACCCTGGATCTCACCCCTGAGTTAGAATAGTAAAACCCACTAAACAAGGTGCTGTCCCCAAATCATAAACCTATATTACTGTAGAAATAGGACATAGTGACAGTGTATTTATAACCAGGAAGGTGTGGTTTCATATGGCTATACCCACAATGTGCTTTGGCTGGATACCCATTTGTCTTCTAGACAGTCTGAATGATAGATCCCAATAGTCCTCTCTTCTTACTGTCCTAAACTTTTGGTCAGCCCTCTGGCCAGAGGTCCATGGGTACGGAGATTTAGGGAGGGTCTCAGGAGGATAGCAGCACTGTGTCACCCTGACACTTCCTGTGTACACTATAGTTCATCTGTAGAATATGCTCACTGGGAAAAGCAGGTTGCAGAGAAAGGTGGATATAATGATCCTGTTCTTGTTTAAAATAAATGAATAAAAGTACATACATACAACAATTCCCCAGATATTTTCAGGACTTATCCTTGGGAAATGGATAATGGGTAATGGATAAATAGATAATGGATTAGTTTTCTCTCTCTCAGTTTGACCATATTCCCTATGTCTTTGTCCAATGAAATGGGCTTATGAAATAGAGAAGAAAAACTGAATGTTCTTTCTCTCTAAAAGAATGAAATCCATTTAAAATAATTATTTTAGTTTTTAAACTTATGGCTAAAATATTTAAAATATAGAACCTAATGAAAGGATCTGGTGTCTTACCTTTCAGCAAATGACAGTAGGCCATGAATTCAAAGACACTAAATATCCTCATCTTTCTGGAGTGACCGAATTATGGAAAACACAAAAAGAAAAATGCTGTATTCAATGATGATGGGTCTTGGCACTTCTCATTGAAATAGTCTTCTGGTAACCAGACAATGCCTGATTGGTAAATGTGGAAGTGCAATAAGGAATTTAGAAGTTTAATACCTTTACTTAATATCCCATAGTCATAAAAAGCCAAATGGAAAAGGTTACTATGATGAGAATATTGATTATTAGTTTTTAATTTAAGGAGTAGAATTTAGTGATTCATCACTTACATACAACACCCAGTGCTCATCCCAACAAGTGCCCTCCTTAATGCCCATCCCCCACTTAGTTCCTCCCCTCACCCAACCTCCCACCAGCAGCCCTGTTTATTTTCTGTATTTAAGAGTCTCTTATGGTTTGTACCCCTCTCTCTTTTTATCTTATTTTTCCTTCCCTTCCCAGAATCTTTAAATGTAATTACAAGGCCTGAAAATAACTTCTGTTGGAACTCAAAAGAAGCCAAGAAGAAAATATTACACTAAACCCTCTCAACTATTTCATGCTTTTTCTGCAGTGGAACATATCCAGAAATCCAAACCTGCCCTGTGCAAACTTTCAAAGGAGGGTCTGACTTCCACACCTCCCACCTTTTAATTCTTTTTTTTTTTCCTTCTCCATAGCACCTGAATACTTTCGTCTTATCCTTAACTACTCAAGCCTTCCATATCACTATCCGAACCATGCCACTTCTGTCCCAGGTGCCCTCCTTCAGAAATCTCATCTGTCCTTCATTTATTCCAAATTATAAATCCTATTCTCTCAATAAAATTTATTCTACTAGTAGCAGGAGTGAGAAGGAGAAACCGTTGGAGTCAACCAATTCATACTAAGATGTGAATGATTCACAGGCAGTCTTTCAGTGGTATCTGCCTAGATTCTATTCTTTATTAACACATTCTCCCTCTTGTACTATACATATATTTACACACTTTAAGAAGTCAGCTTTCCCTCTTAAGGTCTCTTTGACCTCTTGTATACATACAAAAACTCACAAATGATCAACCTATGCTACACATGTTTATGGTAACCTATAAATAGCTCCTAAAAATCAGTAAAAAAACTACATATAACCCAAAAGAAAATGAGCAAAAGGTTCTAGCATACAGTTCAAATAAGAAGTATAAATGACATCTACACATAGGAAATAATGCTCAATCTCAACAATTTAAAAAAAGTGTAAGTTTACATTAGGTACTATTTTTTACTTATCAACCTGACCAAAATCATAAAGATTCCTAATATTTATTGTTTGTAAGGATATGAACAAATGGGTTTTCTCACTAATGGTAGGAATGTGAAGTTATATAACCTTTTTGGGATGGCAATTTGGTAATTTCCACTAAAATTTTAAATGTATATGACATATGAGCTCTTACCTCTTCTCCTAGACATATATCTTACAAAAACACATACATAAACAATACATGTAAAGTGATGATATTGCTAATATTAGCTCCATACTGGGGAATACTGCAGTGAGCCTAAAGAATTAAATAAATTTTGTTATAGTCATACAATGTAGTACCACTAAGGATAGAATTGTACTGACTTTGTAAAGATGTAGTACATAATTTGTGGAGCAGTACATGTAGCAAAAATCTACTATAGCGAAAACTAAGAAAAACCTGTGTGTGTGTGTGTGTGTGTATGCGCGCGCGTGTGTGTGCACACACGTGCACATGTGCTTAGACATAGAAAATATCCAGAAAATTCCATAACAACACGCTAATGGTGATCTCTAGGAGTGAAATCAAAGGGATGATAAGCAGGTTTTCACCTTTTTATAATTTTTAAAAGAAAGAATGAGAGAAAAAGAAAAAAAAACAAAGGTAGATAAGATTATTAATGATCTCTCTGGTGTTTCTGTGTCCACATTTTCAAATAAATGGATAGGTTTCCCTTTAGTTATCAGAAAAACATAAAAATGAATTTAGTGAAGCATTTCACCCTGCCAAGCTGCAGAAGGTCTGTGAGGCAGAGTAGCAGAAGGGACAGAACTCGGAAACCTCAAACATCAGAGTTGAGGGAGAATGATATTTTTGTTTTTTTTCATTATTAGAATGATATAAACACGCTGTAGAAAATGAGAAAAGAAGGGCAGGATCACCCAATATTCCACTGGAAACCTCTACTAACACCAGGACATATTCTGGGTTGTCAAAGTGCGGGGGGGGGGGGGGGCAAGGACTGCTGGTCCGCAGGTGTGCTGCCGCTGAGCATCCTCCAGAGCACAGGACAGCCTGCACAGCACAGCAGCGTCTAGGCCACGCTGTCCACAGCATTAAGACTGAGAAACCTTGCAACCATTATGAGCATTCTAGCATATATTTTTCTTCTAGTCTTTTCCCCTATGAATCTTTTTAAAAACAATTATAACCGTATCTTACATTTGACGCTCATTTTTTCATTTAATATTATGATATAAATACTTTCCATTTTACTGAATGATATTCCTAAGTATCTTAGTGTTTCCATAATAGTTACTTCCCCTATAGTTAGGTATAAGATTGTTTAAGAATATCATACATATTTGTGTATTCAGCAAATATCTTTGAAGTGCCTACTGTGTGCTGGGCCCTAGGCTAGGTAGGCCCTGAGGATAGATTTCCCCAAGTGGAATTATTGATCAAGGACAAAGAACATTTTGGAATGCCTGGGTGGCTCAGTCGGTTAAGCATCCAACTCCTGATTTCCCTCAGGTCACGATCTCATGGTTTATGAGTTTGAACCCCACACTCGGCTCTGAGCTAATGGTGTGGGGCCAGCTCTGGATTCTCTCCAGAACATCAGGGCAGGTGGTCTAAAAGAACACTGACATCTTCCTCAAGTAAGAAACTATGATGGTTTATCTGGATTCCCAGACAAGAGCATTCAAACAGCAAGGAAATGTGAACTAGGTAAGAAATGATGATTCATTCCAGACAGGGAAGCAGGTTTGTGCCTGGGGAACTCGATATAACCCTTTGGAACTGATGCTACCCCTGCATCTCCCAAGGGTAGCTGGGGTAGGAGGGAAAGACTGCAAAGAATTCAAGCTTCCTTTCCCAATAAGTAGGAGTAAGCAGTGTCTTGATAGCTGTTGGTTTAGGGTTTTCTTTGACCTTTACCTGATGTAAATGAACTACAATTTGATTTTCAAATAAAATTTCCTAGAGTTTGACAATCTAAGATGAAAATCCACCCTATTAATAGATCAAGAGAGCTGCCCTATTAAACCCAACTAAATCCTGTGCGCAAACTCCTTTCCCTCAGTCACCCTGAGACCCTCTTCTGTGTTTCCCAGGTGACTTCAAACCCCAACAGTACTTCTGTGGCGTCCTGCAAGACTACACGCCAACTACTGTCCTGTAACCTCCGCCCACTCTCTTCCACTGAAAAAGGCTCATTTTCTCTTTAGGCTATCAGAGTTCTTACAAACTGCTGGCAACTCCAGTGGAAAGTGGCACTATCTTGAAGGTTATTTTTAATTTGCCTCAAAAGGTGGCTCAGTGGGTTGAGCCCCTGACTCTTGATTTTGGCTCAGCTCATGCTCTCATGATTGGTGGAAATCGAGACACGTGTCAGGCTCTGTGCTGATGATGTGGAGCCTGCTTGGGATTCTCTCTCTCCCCTTCTCTCTTCTCCTATCCCTTTCCCCAAATAAAATAAACATTTTTTAAAACTTAAGAAAAACCTTTTAAAATATTTAAACTCATAGCCTAAGTAAACTTACAAGAGTTGATCTGAAGGCAATAATCAGCAGTATCCCAGAGATTTATATGCAATGATGTTCACTGAATGACCAGAATACTTAAACACTGTAAATTATCTTTATGTCCAGCATGGGGTATTAATTTTGTTTGGTTGCCCAGTAACATGGAATGCAGCCATTAAAAAAACTCTATCTATATGCACACATACATATACATCACACATATACACACACAGAGAGATATATACATACTTACTGTGTGTATATATTTCACATTTTAGAAGACTGTTTAATCCATAGAAAATCATACAAGGTATTTTTTAGGTGCAAACAAAGTGGAACAATGATACCTGAAGGACTCTCTGTGTTATAAGACAAAGACCATGTCATCCTCAGAATAGGCAGCACAAAGAACTTGTACTGAGGCCTCCTGGATCTTACAGTGGAAGGGGGTCCTGAGGAGATACTGCAGGTGTATGACTTCCTCAGTGTGCAGCTGAGGAGGTCCGAGGACCCCGGTGTCCGACATGCAGCCCAGGACTTTCGCTCTAGACCCTGCTACCTACCTCAGGACCCTATTCAGGAAGGCGCAGAAACACAGACTTCTAAAACTGAGTCAAAACTACACCCCGCCTCAAGACCGGTCAGACGGTTAGCTTCTCCTATTAACCTACGCAGGTGGCGGGGTCTACCGCTCCGTCCAACCAGCAGCCCTTTCCCTCGCCCGCCTCCTCTCTCCATCCCAAAGGACAGGTGCGCACACCAGCCACGTATTTAAAGCGCCAGCAGCACCGGGACGGCAGCGAGCCGCGCGGGCTGGCACTCGGCGCGGGAAGCACGCTCCCTACCTGCGGGCGGGGAGGCTGACGGCGGCTCTGCGCGCGGCGGCCCCGGAGCTCCTGCCGCGGCCGCAGCCGCCCCAGCGCTAAAGAGCCGGCGGGGGCGGGGCAGCCCACCCGCCGCGGCCGCGGCCCCGCCCCTGGGCTCGCGCGCGCGCCCGGCGCCCCTCGTGGGCACGGCAGGCTTCCGGCAGTTGCGCTCTTGCAGAAAGGAAACCAAAAGCGAAAATAGCGGCCCAGTTTCTCGTAAACCAGTTGTTAAAAAGAAAAGACTCCATGGTAAAGCAATCCAATAATTCCCACCTATTCTTTTAAAACAAAGGTTGGGAAAAAAAAAAAAAAGTAAAACAGAGGTTGAAAAACAGGTCTGAAGCGAGTTATAGAGACTTCAGACGGCTTTTATCTTCGGAATGCGGACACCTGACGTTCTGCCCATCGGTTCCCCCGCCACACCGCGTCTGATAAAACCTTTTCACAAGATGAGGGAACTCTCTGTCCTAAGTGGACGTAATTGCACAATATATATACAAAGTAAACTG